CTCCAAAATACTGCCCCAAGACCCCTCTTGGCACAATCGTGGGGCCATCTTGGGCCTGTCGTGGGGCCATCTTCTTTTTACGACGAAGAAGTGAGAGGCTCAAGGCAAGCCGTTAACAACCTAACTCATGTTCTCATGTCCGTTATGTTACATGAAGAATGCGCGAGCTTGGCAAGAGTGACGCATCAAATGCAACATTGAGATGTGGGCACGGCTTTCGTCTTTACACGACTCCAGGATCTCTGGTAACCGGTAAGCTCTGTCATATTCATGTGTTTTGTTTTTTCCACGCTAAACAAGCGGGGGAGAAGGAGGAATCCGCTGCCCCTCCAGGGGGCTATCCGAACGAAGGCGACCGCAGGGCCGTGAGGTCGTGAGAGCAAAAACCTGCAATGGCCCCGGACTCGGGTGCAAGGATCACGCGCCTACATAAATTCAAATGTTGTGCCGCCAGTGCGAGCCATGCAGCGCCAAAGGCAGATCTACCAATTGACGGCGGCTTCGCCGGATGCAGCAACGGATGGGTGCCACCAGCAGGCAAGTACCGAAAACAAAGAAGGAGAAGCAGAAGCAGGTGAAACCCTGAGCTGATTCCCTACACAGCGGGTGAAACACAAAACCTGATCGGACAAGAGCAAGAAGGTCACTGCTGTCCACTATGCTTGTCAGAGAACGTCGCTTACGCCTCCGAATATCACGTAGGGGTGATACTTCTGCTGCAGCATGTGTATATATATATATATATATATATATATATATATATATATATATATCGGAAGTTGGGGGGTGAGATCGCAGTGGAACGGAGACCCCCAACGGGGAAATCGTTTCGTTTCGTTCGTGCCGTGCGTGCGGGCGAGGCGAAGCTGCGTGGGCGCGCGAGAGGAATGAACCCGCCGCTGCTAGGGCGAAATCAAAACAAATGTTTCTCCTCCGTCCGTCCGTCCGTCCGTCCGGCGGTGGCCCTAGCAATGTCCCGCGGTGTTCCGTGGTGTCCCGGGGTGTCCGCCGTTGCTAGGGCGAAGTCAAAACAAATGTTTCTCCTCCGTCCGTCCGCCCGCCCGTCCGTCCGGCGGTGGCCCCAGCGGTGTCCCGCGGTGTCCCGTGATGTCCCGTTGAGTGAGATCGATAGTGACATCGATAGCGAGATCGATAGTAAGATCGATGTGGTGCCCCGAGGTGTCCCGTGGTGTCCCAAAAAGTGAGATCGATAATGAGAACGATAGTGAGATCGACAAGTGTCCCGTGGTGTCCCGTGGTGTCCCAAAAAGTGAAATCGATAGTGACATCGATCGTGTGATCGATACTGAGATCGATGAGGTGCCCCGAAGTGCCCCGTGGTGTCTCGTGTGTCCCAAAAACTGAAATCGATAATGAGATCGATCGTGAGATCGGCAGGTGTCCCGTGGTGTCCCGTGGTGTCCCGTTGAGTGAGATCGATAGTAAGATCGATATTGAGATCGCTAGTGAGATCGATGTGGTGTCCCGAGGTGTCCCGTGGTGTCCCGTTGTGTCCTGTGGTGTCCCGTTGAGTGAGATCGATAGTAAGATCGATATTGAGATCGAGAGGTGCCCCGCGGTGTCTCGTGGTGTCCCGTTGAGTGAGATCGATAGTGAGATCAACAAGTGCCCCGTGGTGTCCCTTGGTGTCCCGTTGATTGAGATCGATAGTGAGACCGATTGAATCAAATGTTTGTTCCCCCCTCCCCCACCCCACAACCTCCTTATCACCTGAAGGGTGGTCGTATAGGTATACACATATGTATCTAGACATATGTAAACACCAAACTGTTGATCAACAGAAATCTACCAGGTGCATCGCGTGACCGCTCGCGCACTTCTTCATCGTCACCCCAACAAGCGCCGCCGCATCACGTCATCATTGTCATCAATCGCCGCCATTGCCGCCATCATCACTCAAATACAATCACCACCGACGCGTGGGCATCATCATCGTCACCGTTGTCACCCGTACAGCGTCGTCATTGGCCCTACCATCATCATCGTCAACATCGCCACCGCCGTCGCTACTATCATCATCGCTGCCGTCGTTGCCGACGTCATTATCATACCGCGCCCGCCTGGGCCACCGACCAGCATTGAATTGCACACGCTCAAGAGCTGCCTTTGAGACGCGCTGGGAAGTTGCAGTCGGTAAGCTGCGCTGGCACTGGGCTAGACAATACATGCGCGAACTTTTGTGAATCGAATCACGTAACCTACACCACGTAGCTCACACCATACATATTGCAACACACATTTTAAGTCAGCAGACGCATGCGAGCCGAAGCAGGTGCAAGTGCAGGCGCCGGTTGGGCTATGGGAGGGACGCGCCGTAAGCGAATTGGACGGCGGAGCGCAGGAAGAGAAGAGGGGAAGAGAAGTCAGAGTCGATCATATTAGATTGCACCACACACATTGCACCGCATAGCTTATGCCGCATATGTAAATATATCTACTTGCGTACACAAGGTTTTACCGGCTCGTTTCGCTTCGCCTTTACAATCGCCCCATGAGCCCCACGAATCCCATGAGCCCTATGGTCCCTACAAACCATATGACCCCCCTGCGCCCTACGAGCCCCATCAGCTCGAATGGCCACTATGAGCCCCATGCGCCCTATGGCTCCGATGAGCCCTATGAGCCCCATGAGCCCTATGGCCTCTCCGAAGCACATAGGCCTTATGAGCCCCATGGGCCGTGCGAGCACCATGAGCCCTACGAGCCCTATGCGCCCTATGAGCCCTGTGGGCCCAATGCCGCCTGTGAGCCTATGAGACATATAAGCCTTACGAGCCGTATGGGCCCTACGAGCACTAAGAGCCCTATGAGGCCTATGAGCCCTAGAAGCCATGTGGTCTCGATTGGTGCTATGACCACGAGCCCGATAAGCCCTATCAGCCTCATGGGCCTCACGGCCCGCGCGACCACTGAGAGCCTCAAGATCCCTATGAACCATATGAGCCCCGTCGGGCCTATGAGCCTGATGACCCTGACAACCCGTTCTGAACCTTATGAGCCTCCTAGGCTCAATTAGCACAATGACCCGCGGGAGCCCCATGCACCTCACAAACCCTATGAGACGACCCGCTCTATGGGGCCCAAGAGTCAGTGGCTTCTTTGAGGCTCGTCTGAGGATCTTTGTTTTCGTTTTGCTGGCGAGTTTGCTGCTACGTGGAACGGCATGGAAGCAGAGCAGGCGGAGGGGGGAAGAGAGAGAGAGAGAAGGGGGAGAGAGGGGAGAAGAAGAAATGGTCATAGGGTTTCTTGGAGGGCACATGGGGCTCATAGGGCTCATAGGAGCAACAGGGTTTGGAAGAGTCGGACCGTTCATGAGATAGGGATGATGGGGTCGTCGGGGTTAGAAGGCGTATGAGGTCGTGAAGAGCATAGGGTCGTACGACGCATCGGGCTCGTGAGCGTACGTGTTGCAGGGGGCTCGTAGGAGTCATAGGGCAGATGAGGCTGATTTGACTCTGAGGGTTCGTAGCGCTGACAGGGGTCGTAGGGTTCGCAAGGCTCGAAGGGCTCGCACGGTCGTCGGGCTCACAGGTGTCGTGGGGCTCAGGAGGTCACTGGGCACATGGGCCCGTAAAAAGCTCATGGGCCTCAGAGGGTGAGGCTTCTCGGGGGCCTCTTGAAGGGCGCAAAGGGATCGCAGGCCTCATAGGGCTCATAAAGCTCGAACGGCTCACAGCGCCATCTGAACCCATCTTGCGGCGCCCTGTGGGCAGCTTTGCGGCATTCTTGGGCCGTCGCGGGGCCTCCTTGAAGCCAGGTGCGCCGCTCGTACTGTGTGAGGGCGCGAGATCGCGCGCTCAGGGTTCGGGAGCGTCTTGGTGTTTAGACTTTGGCACGTGATTGAACACATCTACCACGCAACCTCGCGAAAATTAACGAATGTGGCCTCTCAGGGCCTTCGTGGGGATCCTCTTTGGGCTCTTTTGGGCCGTCTGGCGGCCTTCCTGGGCCGTCCCGGGACCCTCTTGAATCGTCGTGGGGGGGATTGGGCCGTCTTGGGGCTTGTTTGGGGCCCTCTTGGGGGGCCGCCTGTGGCCTTCTTGGGGCTCTCTGAGTCGCCTTTTTTTGTTAGCCCAAAGTGGCCGAGACTCGGCGGGCAGTTTCTGTAACCTCATCCTCGCTGGAGCCAAGCACCCCACGACGAACTGCAGCTACACAGGTCGATGGCGCAGAGGGGGGTCGAATCGACCCTCTGAATCATACACTTCGCATTCATCGTCTGGACCAACGATGCAAAATATGCTCTTCAAAGACGAGCAAGACGCACCCCCACAATTGAAACACAGTGGCGATGAACCGCAACCTGCGTCGACTGGAATGAACTGCAGTATTTGACGCCAGAACCAGGGGACCAACATAATTCGCCCGGTCAGTGCTAGAATGTTACCAAGAATTCTTGCACGGGGGACCTTCACACCCAAGCACAGGAGCCGTCAAATGCGTATACGCTCTGAGAGCGTCACCGATGAAAACATCTTCCAAGTGTGGCGCCGTAGACTGGATATATGGAAAGAGGGAACTGAGGGGAAATGCAAGGAGAGGGAGGGCGGGGTGCATCAATTTAGGGGGCCACATGCGAACCCTACCTCTACCCCCAACGATTTCTGAGGGGGAGGGTGGGGTTCACTTCGTCTGGGAGCTCCCGAGCGAAGTGAACCCCACCCTCCCCCTCAGAAATCGTGGGGGGTAGGGGTGGGTTTGCATGTGGCTCCCTATCAATTCGTGCAACGGCAATGGCATCATCCCCAGCGCATCTCTGGCTTCAAAGCTTCGAGGACGTGCCTATATACCGTGCCATCAGAAGCCTCACCGCCGTGGAATACACACCTTCGCCTAGCTGGAAGGCTCAGAGCAAGCGCGCCGGTCACCAAACCTTGGAGCCCGACTTCTGAAGCGCCATCGCGAACCGCCCGCAATCCCGGGTCAGGCCCGCGCGCCCGGCAGCGAGTTGCTTGGATCGGCGCCGCCTGAGTGCAGGTCTAAGAGATCCGCGCGGACCCCAGCACATTCGTTCCCTGACATCCACCGATATGTTTAATCAACACAAGAAGGTGCTTTTCCTTCGACGGATCCCGCGTCAAGCGACGCTGCTCCTCCACCAGAAAGTCGTGCGCCCCTTGCGCTTCACGCTGGGCTCCGGGAAAAAGGGCGCGGCAGCCCCTCACAGAAGAGCAGCGGCCGGCACTCCTCGGGCACGTGCTCGCACACGACGTAGCTGTTCCGTTACTTCTCGGGAGGTGGTGAACGACGTAACCTTATGTCGGGCCTGTCCCCCTACAGGGGATTTCCGACGAAAAATGAAACATACCCCGAAAATATCCCAAAAAGGTCCACAAAATAATCAAAAAAACAGTCCCCAGACTATTTTTTGTTTAAAATATTTTTGGGGTATTTCATATTTTTCGTCGAAAATCCCACTGTAGGGGGACAAGCCCGACTTAAACGTAACCTGACTCTGGGTTGAACGCCATGAAGATCCGCTCAGTGGCGAGCACGCTGAGGATCAGCTTCGAAGTTCTCCGGAGCGAGAAGTAGGTCAGGAGGCGAACCGTCGCCGCTTGCATGTTGGCCCTCCTCTTCAAAGAAGGAGCCGCTGCTCGAGTCATCCACCTTCTGCACGTTTGCCTCGAGCCCTTGCAGCCGGCTCCAGGACGTGCCGCCGGGCCGCAAGGCCGAGAGCGGGTGCCCGTGGAATCCCTCGAGGAATGCCCTCAAGCGCTCCGCGGCCGCTGGCTGCGTCTGGCTTGCGAACGCGAGCCCTTTGGGCCTCGGAGGTCTCGAAATGCACCGGAAGATACGCGAAGTCGAACTGCCCCGAGTAGCCGTGGGCGTCCAGCAAGCTGACCAGCATGTTGCGACTGAGGGCGCTGGGGAGGCCGCGCAGCACCACCGTGGCGACCCGTGGTGTGAGTCTCCGCTGCGATGCGCGTCTGCGTGCCGCCCTCTCCGAGATCAGGCTTCCCAGGAGGCGCATGCGTCGGCTCGCTCACGAAGAGAAGGTGCCACATCGTGCCTGGAGATGGACGGTCTCGGCTCTGCGGGGGGTGGCGTGCGGGCGCCCGCAGCCTGCTGGAGGGGGGACGCTGTGCCGTGCCCCCGCTCGAAGCGCACCAGTGAGATCGCCCGCGTGCCGGGTGTGGCCATCGGCGACAGCGGCTTGGACCTCCGGGGCCCGGCACGGCTGCAGGAGGCCGCCTCGTGCAAGGCAGGTCGCCGGAACAAGATCGGCCAGCAGCAGAAGGGTTGGCCCGTCGTCTTCCATGTCCGCCCAGGCGAGGGCCTCGGTGAGATGTCGCCTACCGTGTAGCTTGTCACGGTCAGCCGCAGTCTGGTTACCCATGGGTGCCATCGCACTGGTAGGGGGCAGTGTAAGAATTTAGAAATAAAGCGCTGCCGAGCGCCACTGGTTGAGCCAAAATGGCTATGGAGGCTCTCTTGGTAGCCTTCTGGGATCCTCTGGGGCCCGTCTTGGGCCGTCTTGGAAGCTTTTGGGTCGTGGGAAATTTGTGGGCCGTCCTGGGGCGATCTGTGGGGTCGCTTGAGCCGCCTTGGACGCCGCGAAGACCAAAAAAACTAATATGTTGAATATCTGCGTTCTCCTCCAGGATTGGAGCGATGTCTGCGTTTTGGGTGCCCCCCTGGGGGCCTCTCGACACGTCTTGGGGGCCTCTTGGGCTGTCTTGAAGCCGCCCTGGGCCCTCTTTAAGCGCTCCTGGGCCGCCCTGGAGCAGCCTTGGGCCGTTTCGGTGCGCCGCGGGTCCAGGGAGAGATGCTGGGCCCGCTCGGGCGGCGCAGGATGGCCTGGAGGGCTCCCGAAACCGAGGAGTTCGAATGTCGCGGTGGTGGGAACGCCCAGGGCCGAATTCGTGTGCGGGGGGGTCCTTATCATAAGGTTCGATTGTATGTGTGTCTGCATGTACGTATGGATATGTATGTGTATGTGTATGTGTATGCATGTAGATATGTGTCTGTATGTGTGTATGCATGTGTGTATGTGTGCATGTACGCATGTATGTGTACATGCATGCATGCATGCATGCATGAATGAATGAATGCATGAATGAATGAATGAATGAATGAAAGAATGAATGAAGGAATGAATGAGTGAATGAATGAATGGATGAATGGATGAATGGATGAATGGATGAATGGATGAATGGATGAATGGATGAATGGATGAATGGATGAATGGATGAATGGATGAATGAATGAATGAATGAATGAATGAATGTTCGCATGCATGCTTATGTAAGCACACGTGTTCACGTATGTGTGTATGTGCTGCGCCTTACGGCATAAACGTGCATAGCCCGCACCACGTAGATTGCACCACCTATCTTGGACAACTCAGCGTGTTAAGGCCCAGTAAAGCGACCGGCGTGCTGACCCCCCCTTCGCGAAAGGAGGTGCGTCGCGCATTCGTCGCCCGTGCGCCGCCCGTGCGTCGGCCGCCGAAAAGGCCAGCCGTCCTCTCGAACGTGCACGTCGCCCACCGCAGAGCTTACACACACACACACACATCCACAGTGCAACCTCTCCCTGTCTCGGGGCCCACGCTGGCATTGAATCAACGGCGCAGCTCTCTGCGGCACCCCAGACCCCCGACGTCGTGATCTTGTTCGCAGCGTCGACCCCCAGAGGTCTGTCGGGCGGGACTTAATGGGGGGGTCACAAACGGGGGGGTCAGAAAAGGTCCCCTTTCGTGCCCCTTTCGGGCCCCTCCAGAGCCCCAGGGGGCTCGTTTAGGTACCGTTTGGGTACCTTTTCGGACCACACTCGCCGCCCCCCCATTTATGACCCACCCATTACGCGGCGCCCAAGTCTGGAGCCCTTCCCCCGGGCCGGCTTGCCATCCCGAGTCGTTTTCTTTGACGGCCCCTATGTAGGCCCGGCAGGGGCCCCCGGAGGCCGAACGGACCGAAGACCTCCCGTCGTGAGCTCTTCGCGACGCGAGGAGGTCTGGGATGCAGCTTCGAGGCGGGGATGTAAAGAACCGAGCTCTATACACCGACGCTTTTTTCGGCCCCGCACTGAAACTCGCACGGGAAAGCGGATCCTGGTGTATACGGGACCCTGGTGTATACACGCGCCGCTGCTTCCCCGTGAAAGCGGGGAGAGAGTATACACCACACCACCCCGACGTCCTCCCCGACCCTCGAAAAAGTTCTGGGATTCAAGAACAGCCCGCCACTGGGAATATATACGTTCCAGTTCCCGAGGGTGGGCCACAGGTCGGGGCCGGCCAAGAGGGAGGCGTCCGAGAGGGGGGGGGGGCGCAATTCCTGGCCAGCGGCAGGATCGCGGCCCAGCGGTGGGCCAGGGAACGCATCGAAACAAGAAGAGGGGCCGTGAGAGCCAGGGAGATGTCATGGCCCCCGCCATGACATCCCCCTCCCCCCCCGAAGTCCTCACCCCCCCCGTGGCCGCCCCCGCACAGGGGGGCACGGGGCACTAAGCCCCCGTGCTGTCCTGACGAGCGCCAGCTGCCAGCTGCCCGGGTGTTGCCAGAAGTGCCCCTGGCCAACGGTGCCCCCAACTCTACGCTCCGTGTTCTTGAGCCCCTGTGGGGCCCTCTGGGCCTCGTGAGGGGCGCCCCGGAGGCCGTCTGGGCCACCCCGAGAATCCTGGGGGTACCTTGGGCCAGGGGTACCTCCAGCAACAGCCGAGCTGCGGCAAGCAGAGGAGCCGCTCCCCCGGCCATACTCGGGGAGACGTAAGACCCGGTTACGGGGGACTCGGAAATCCCCGACGAGGTCGTCAGACGAGGCCTCCCGCTGCAGACATCCAACGAAACTCCTACTCGTCAAAATCCGAGTCGCGGTCGTCAAAAAACGATGGCGAACCCGAGTCCTGGCAAACCCGGGTCTTACGCTCCCCCGGCCATGCGGCGAGCCCCTGCCGCGAGCGCGCAGGCCCCCCCGACACGGCCCTGCACCCGGAGCGGCCCGAACACCGGAGCCCGCCCTGAGCCCCAAAGGGGGGGGGGGGGTCCTTCTTTTTCCAGCGCCTCTCCTCCTCCTCCTGCTCCTCCTCCTCCTCCTCCTCCTCCTCCTCCTCCTCCTCCTCCTATCATTCCTCCTCCTCCCTCCTCCTCCTCTCCTTCCTCCTCCGCCTCCTCCTCCTCCTCCTTCTCCTCCTTCTCCTCTCCTTCCTCCTCCTCCTCCTCCTCCTCAGTGCCAGCTTGGCCTAGCTGCTCCTGACTCTTTACTGCGCAGGCTGTGGCAGTGCCCGAGCGTCTGAGAGCAGCGTGAGGCTGCCCGTGGACAAGAAGTCATCGTAGAAGCACGAAGGGTCACTGCTGAAGGCAATGACAGAGCAGAGCTGTTTTTTGTCCAAAGGTATGTTCCCGCATCCAGGGGACTGGTTGTCGAGGCCATGTCCTGAAGGCCGTATCGTCCATTTGATTGCTGGAGGTCCTGGGTGCAGCCCTGGCCCCGTTGACGTTTCTGGTGCTGTTTTCTGGGACGGTTCGTCTTACAAGCATGTCATCAAGGAGCTGCCTAGGACGGGCTGGGGATCTGTCTCTATGGGCCCCCAAGGAGAGATCATCGCCTCTGTGCCGGGTGCGGTCAGCAGGCCGCTCCCACAGACCTCTCAGGCTGGTGAATGCAGTGCGTACGCTGCCACTGCTCAGTGCCTGGCGGGGCCCACTCTGGGCTACGCGGATTGTTAAGGGGTCGTCAGATCCCATGTTTCCCCCAGGGCTGTGCGTCTTTCGCATAAGAAGAAATATGCTGGCAGTTATGTTTTCACCGCCTCGCCGCATTGGCAAGAAGTTCGCAAGTGCAAGGCTCACACTGTGGACTCTCCTGACCTCTCGGTGGAGGCTCGCTTTCTCATGCTAGGCAACGATGCTACCGACAGGGCGGCAACACACGGAGTGACCCTACAACCGCAGGCCAGTGCGGGAGAGCGGGCACAGGTAGATCGCATCGTGAAGACGGCCAAGGCGGTATGCAGAATTGCTGCCGCCGTGCTACCTAGCTGGCCGAAGCTCGATCTTAGTGAAGTCACGCGTGCCATTCCAGTACCTCCTCCCCCTTCGCTGGAATCTCGGTTCGATCACCAATGGGAATCGGAACGGTACCGCGGTGTCTGGAGATGCACGTGCTGCCTTCGTTTTCGTCGCTCGGAAGAGCGGCCTCCCGACGGTGGATGCCGAGGGGCGCCTTGGCCTGCTGTGCAAGAGATGTCGAATGTAGGTCACCGCATGCTTGCCTTGCAATGCAGTGATCACTCCCCGCTCGTCGTCTGCGTCAGCAAAGCCTGCACCTGTCTCGGGAGAGTGTATATCGTTTGAGCCGTCCCTGCGATCCTAAGCTCACTGGCCGTAATGATAAGGATCGCTGGCGGCTCACGTGTCGTGGTCTCCACTCTAAGCTCAAAGGGGTTCGTGTCGAGGCCATGCCAAAGATGGGTGAGTAAGCATTCCCCGTCTCTTTTCCCTCAGGCTGCCTGTTAGGCAGCGTCGAGTGGAACAACATCCTCCTCCTCCTCCTCCTCCTCCTCCTCCTCCTCCTCCTCCTCCTCCTCCTCCTCCTCCTCCTCCTCCTCCTCCTCCTCCTCCTCCTCCTCTCCTCCTCCTCCTCCTCCTCCTCCTCCTCTCCTCCTCCTCATTCCTCGTCTCCTTCCTCCTCCTCCTCCTCCTCCTCCTCCTCCTTCCTCGTCTCCTTCCTCCTCCTCCTCCTCCTCCTCCTCCTCCTCCTACTCCTCCTCCAGGCGGAGGGCCAGGAGGCGGGAGGAGCGGTCCGCACATTCCCGGAGTGGTTCATGGCGTGCTGGCCGTCCCGCGCGATCAGTATCACCTCTGGGCGCCGGGGGGGTCTCAGCGGAGAGGGAGGGAGAGAGAGAGAGAGGGCAAGAGAGGGCAAGAGTGGGAAGAGCGAGACAGCGAGAGAGAGGGTGAGAGAAATAGTGAGAGAGAGAGAGAGAAGGATCCACTATATATATATATAGAGAGAGACAGAGAGTTATGAGAGCAAGTGGGAGAGAACGCGAGAGAGAGAGAGAGCAAGAATGGGAAGGCGAGAGAGAGAGAGAGAGAGAAAAAAAAGAGAGAGAGGGAGAGAAAACAAAATCCCATAGAGAGATCAACTTAAGAACAAGTGAGGAGAGGGAAAGAGAGAGAGAGAGAGAGGAAAGGCCAGACGACGGAGGGAAAGCGCGGGACGCCGAACCTGGCGTCGGCGCTCTCGGGAGCAATCCCGGCTCTGCTCGGGAATCGTGCGCCCTTCACCCGTCGCATCAGCGACCTCAGCAGACGCACAGGTGCCTCGAATGATGGCCTTCGGCGCATGTTTCCTCCTCGTGGGAGGCCGCGGCGCCAGCCCAGTGACAGCTCGAGCAGAGGCGAAGTCACGAGGAGCGTACGACTGAAATGCAGAGTGGCGAGGGGTAGCAGCACGGCCCTCAAAGAGGTGAGGAGAAGACGTAAAGACGCCGTGCACAACGGCCAGATTGTGTGACGACCACTGGCCAGGCAGCGTCGCCGGAGAGCACCCTCGGAGCACGGAGCTGAAAGCCAACGGCGGCACAGGAGCGGAGGCTGGCAGGGTGCGGGGCACCGCTTGCCACGTCGGCTCCCCGGTATTCAGCGGCGTCCCCACGACCACCTCCGCCTGGAGCGGCCAAGAACCAGCACATCACGAGAGCAGCAGCGCACGACATGGCAGCAAGGGCAGCACTCAAATGCTTACCCCTCTTTCGCTTGTCTGCCCCGTCTCCTCCTCGCCCTGCTCTTCCCATCCGCTGGCCCCTTCCCGATCGAGAGGCCGTCCTACGGGCATGTCGTATTGCCTCTGCCATGCCATGTCTGCACATCCCGTTGCCAATATCATTCGATGCTCGTGAGCTCGGGAATTTGAGGAAAGGTTCCCAGAACACGTCAGTGCTACACCAGGTGCTGGACGGAGGGGAACTGGACGCACACGCATACATATTGAAAGGGAGCGGGAGAGAGAGGAAGGGAGAGAGAGAGAGAGAGAGAGAGATGGCGATTATGCTTCGTCTCCAACTGCCCTGTGCGCTCTGCTTGCTGTAGCTTACTGGCACACGCTGCCCAGGACAACAGACGTGCGATCTTCCAGCTCCGCGGGCATTCTGCTCAAGATGCAAGCGATACGAGGGAAGCCAGTGACACTGACACGAAACACAGGTACAGTCGGGCTGCTGAAAGAAGGAACGATAAACGAGGAACGAAGCCCCTTTTGGGCCTCACAAGCGCCTGCGTGCACGAGGAAGGCTATAGGAAAAGCCATAGAAGGACCTAAGGAACATCGAGCCCCTTTCTTACCCAAACTGTTCCTTATTTCAGCGACTTGGGTGTACACCAATAAAACATGCGAGAAGTCATGCCCCCGCTGCTGGACCACATCGCCGTGGCGTCGCGCGGCCTTGCCAACGTTTAGGTCGTCCCTGGGTGCGGGCTTGGGCGCCGGCGCGGCTCGCCTGTGGGAGGAGAGGCACACGGCATGCTCAGCTCCATGAAGCGCAGCAGAGCATGCTGACTCGGCGTGGCCCCGCGCCAACTTCCCAAAACAAGCTTCGCCACCCCTCTCCAGCCAGTGGAGCCAAGATCTGGCCATCGCTCGGACGTCCATTCCCTGTGTGTTTTTTCGATTTCGTGCGTGGTTCTTTCGCCAAATGATTAAGGATGCTCCTCGATGGTCCTCGCCGAAGGAAAGTAAACACGTCCGAGCGATGCCAAGTGAAGAGCAGCAGAGCATGCTGACTCGGCGTGGCCGCGCCAACTTCCCAAAACAAGCTTCGCCGCCCCTCTCCAGCCAGTGGAGCCAAGATCTGGCCATCGCTCGGACGTCCATTCCCTGTGCATCTTTCGGTTTCGTGCGTGGTTCTTTCGCCAAGTGATCAAGGATGCTCCTCGATGGTCCTCGCCGAAGGAAAAGTGCACACGTCAGAGCGATGCCAAGAGATCCGACCAGGATCGAACAACTCAGAAAAGATCCAGGAACCTTCCCGTCTGGACCACAGGCATCCACGATGCCATGGGCTCGGGTCTACATGCACCTGCAGGGGGTCGGCTGTGCGCATCTGTCTCTCCCCATTTGCCGATCAACCTCTGCCCCGGTAGCTCCACTCTCTACCTCATTCCCCATCCTCTCCCCATCACCATTTCCAGGCTCACTGCCCAGACTCATCATTATCCAATCCTCCTCCTACCATCCATCATCTTCCCTAACCCCCAAGCCGTCGTGGTACCACGAGTCGTTGTGCGTCAGCGACCTCCGAGGAGTGGCGCAAACCCGTTGGTCTCAGCTCCTGCAACGCGCACCGCTCGGCATCAGTGCTGCACGTCTGCCCTCATCGCGAACATCAGCGCACAAGATCGAAGCTCTTCGCGAAGCCTCCCGCATTCTGCCATCTGACTGCGGTCCTCTGGCAATGCTCCAGTCGGGGGGGGGCGCTCGCGCGCGGAAGACCTGCATCTTGCCAGTCAGAGGGCGACGTCCGCTCGCTGGGGAATGGCGCTGCAGAGGCGCAAAGAGTGGATACGACGAAAAGGGAGGGATGGGAGGAGGAGGAGGAGGAGGAGGAGGAGGAGGACGAGGAGGAGGAGGACGAGGAAGACGAGGAGGAGGAGGAGGAGGACGAGGACGAGGAGGAGGAGGAGGAGGAGGAGGAGGAGGAGGAGGAGGGGGTGACGATGGGGGACACGACAGGCGACACTGCTGCTCACCAGCCATCCCGCTCTGCTGCGACGCTCCCACGTCTCTTGTTCCTCCCCTGCGGCGTGATCACTGGCGTTGCGTCAGGCCTCCGCTACGTCAGCTCCCTGGGCGTCCGTCGACCCTGCTCGTTCCGCTCGACGCGTGCGGGGGAGGAGGCCCCAGCGCTTCCCCGCGAGATGGAGGCGGCGTGCCTGGGGCTCTCACGCCTCGGCGACGGTGACCGCGCGCGCCGCGGCGACGGCGATCGCGACGCGGCCCTCGCTGGCCTGCGTCGCCGAGCAACAGCGGCGCCGCAATGGATTGGGGCAGATAGCCATCCGAACCAACATCACGACGCCCTCCCCCCATTCGCCTTGTTGCTTCCCCTGCGCCCACACCCTGCCCGCCCGCAACCCCTCCCCTCTCCCCATCTCCCGCATCAGGAGCGGAGCAACAACAAGCTGGTATAGGGGGAGCTCTTTTGCCAATGGGGCGACGCAAAGAAAGGGGCCTCACACATGATGTCATAACGACCTCACGCGGCGGCTTACGCGGGCCGCCGACGCGGCACGCCACATTGGAGACGAGGGCGTTTACGCGCGACCTTACGGGCAGCTTACGCGCCAATGTCGATCTGGCTTTTTTGCGTCGCTCAATTGCTATTCTTCTTTTTTGTCAGCAGGGCAGGCGTATCTTCCTAGACCACTGCACACCACTCAAACGTCGAGCCTGGTTGGGTGCTCCCTGGCATTGCGTGTGCCAAGCCTGGCTGCCAACAAACATGGGCCCAGGAAAGGCCCCAACACGGCACTGGACCGCACCCGAGAACCCCCCTGGAACGGCCCAAGACGGCCAGCCCGAAGACCCCCCCCCAAGACGAACACCAAGGGGCCCCGCGAAGGCCCCACGCAGGCCGCACAACCCGCCCACGCGGCCCCAAACGGATGCACCGGGCTCCTCTTCGGCAGGGGCGTCGCGCACCGGATTGCCCCACGACCCCCTGCAGCCACCCATGAGGTCCCTGAAACAGAAAGCACCGCAAGACTCCGAGTCACCCCCCCAGCACCGCTGCGCTACGGCATCGTGCATCCCAGACGGCCCCGAAATGGTTGTGCCGAGCCTCTTCGGGATTGCTCGGCAGCAATCCTGCAGGCGATTCGAAGCTGCGCTGGTGCAGCGACACGGCTTGCTGCACACAGCCGGGGAAGTACGTGGCCACGGTGGCGTTGGCACTCGCTGCGCCAGCTGCATTGGTTGAGAAAAAGAGTGGGGAGGAACAGAGGCTGTATGAGGAGTAGGGGGAGCAGGAGCAGTCTCTAGAGGGCTAGATGGCGGTGTGATAGAGCGGTGGCACACGCACACCTGCACGCACCCGCGCGCCCCCCCCCCCCCCCCACACACACACACACACACACACACACACACACACACACACACACACACACACACACACACACACACACACACACACACACACACACACACACACACACACACACACACACACACACACACACACACAAACACAAACACAAACACACATACACACACACGTACACACAGCTTCCACTAAGTGCGGAAGCGATGCTCACACGAGGCCGAGGCTGGGGTCAACTGCGACTCGTGCGCCAGAGGAGCCTCGATAAAGAATAGCGCACGCACAAATTTAGCACACACGGATCAGGTGGGACAGTCCTCCTCACCCGCACTACGTATCTTTATAACCCCCCTCCTCTCCTACCCGTGCTGCTGCTGCTGCGCACACCCTTGGAGACCACATAAACCGCAGTGTCGATGCTTGCACAAGTTCAGAATGTTAACCAACGTGAACCCCAAGCAGTGTGGTTGTAGTACATTATGAGGTGCAACGTATGTGGTGCAACATATGTTGTGCGTTCGATGTGTTGCTACATGCGTTGTGCAATCCATGTGGCGCAACCTACGTGCTTCAACATATGTTGTTCAAGCGGCGTGGTGCACTCGTAGTGGTGCAACCTATGTGGTGTGATCTATATTGTGCAACCTACGAGGTGCAGTTCATGTTGTGCAGCTTTGGTGGTGCAATGTTTGTGGTCCAGTATACGCGATGCTGTCATGGAAGCTACGTGGTGCAATATAAGTGGTGCAATCTATGTGGTGCAACCAATGTTGCGCGATCTATGCTGTGCAATCTGCGTGGTGCAACTTATGTGGTGCAACATCGGCTGTGCATTCTATATGGTGCATACCATGTTGCGCAAACCATGTGTTGCAACCTATGCGTGCAGTCTAGATTGCGCACGCTACGTGGTGCAATCTACGTGGTGCAATTCACCCTGCCGAGCTGGAAGTTGCCAACTCCACTGCTCGCGCCAACATCCCACTCACCCACCCGCAATGTGGTTTGCAAAATCATGCGACGGCGATTGCGATGAGTGATTGGCGTTGGCTGGTGCATCTCTGCGGCCGCGCTAGCCCGCGCATGCTCGCGCGCGCAGCCACCAGTTAGTGCTTCGCGACCGACGCGGCCGCGGTGGCGCTGACCGCTGGGCACTTCCAGCGGGCCCTTCAGCGCGAGTCGGTGACTTTTTGTCGGGCGCGGCATCATGGCGACGCCCACAACAGTAGACACGATGATGAGAGTAGCGATGATGGCGACGATAGTGGCGATGACGGCGGCAAGGCCAATGACGGCGCCGATGTTGACCACGCCCGCCGATAACGATATCCTCGCGTCGGTAATTAAGGTTTTGGAAGGAGTTCGACGTGCGCGCGCGGCCGACGCGCGCGAGTGGCCCGCGTGGTATTATTTGACACGGATCGTGCCCCCCAGCACGCGCGCAAGGGCGTTCGGATGAGCTCGACATGCAGCGCGAGAGGTCCTTTTTGCAAAATGCGTTGGGGATGTGGAAAAACCGATGGCTTTCGTACGAGTTTGCCAGAGCGCGTGCGCAGTTTTTTCTGGGCGGGAGAACTGATGTTGGAAACAACTGTGTTCGTTTCTATGTTTTCGAGACACTCGCTTTTGAAATCCTTGCGATTTCAAAAATGTTTGGAGGATTTCGGCATTCGCACGCGACGACGCGCGCGCGTGTACTTCGTCCCATCTGTTGCAAAGGATTCTTGCGACAGCACGCGCGCAAGGACGTTCGAGCGATTTCGACATGCGCGCGCGAGAGGCTCTTTTGGCCGCATGTTACGAATACGTTAAACATCCGGTGGTTTTCTCAAGAAGTCGCAAGAGTACGCGCGCAGGCTTTTATTGAACACCCTTGTTGCGAAGCCATGTGTTTGTTATATGTTTCTGGACAGCTGATTTTGAAATCCTTACGAAGCCTGGGGCTTTTGAAAGATTTCGGCATGCGCGCACGACGACGTGCAAGTATGCACTTCGTCCCGTGTTTTGCAAGGGATCCTTGAGCAGTGGTGATTGTAACAAACGAGTGCGCACGCATAGTATTCTTTGCAGAGGATGAGGGGGCGTGCGAACTCCGGCTTGGCTGGGATGGTACGAACTCAGACTTAGGATGGACGATGGGGCTGAATCGGATGTAGACTGCACATCCCCAGGGGGTGCCGATAAGTCCGGCCTCGGGAGAGTGGTGGATATTGTTTTCGAATCGAGAGAGAACCTATGCGGTGCAATGTTTGTGGTGCAATCTAGGGCGGCGGTGAGGCGGCGACATGGCGGCGACGGCGGCCACATAGCTGTCAGACCGACAGACAGGCCCAGACGACGGGCGGCGACGAAGCGGCGACGGGACGGCGATGGCCGCCCCATAGCCGCCAAACCGACAGGCACGGCCCAGACAACGGGCGACGACGGGGTGGCGACGGCGGCCACAGAGCCGCCAGACCAAAGACAAGGCACAGCTCCTCATAACAGAAGTTTAAGAAACCCTGAGTGCACGAACTGCTAAGGGAACAATACATGAGATGAGTATCAACAAGCATAACAAAAACAAATCGGCCCAGCCCTAGTCCTCGGCGAGAGGGTCCAGCGGGAAGGAACAAAACGCTTCAAAGCGGGCTCGATGCGATCGAGCACATTCCCTCTGTACGAACTCGGAGACTGCACGGACTGAAAACAAACTGCCGCGGCAATGGGATTGCACAATTCATCAGGATACTGCTTGTTATTCCTCCTCCGCCTCCTTCTCCTCCTCATTCTGCTCGTTCCCTTCACTCCTCCTCCTCCTCCTCCTCCTCCTCCTGCCCCCCCCCCCTCTTCTCCTACTCCTCCTCCTCCGCCTTGTCCTCCCCCTTCTTCTCCTCCTCCTCCTCCTCCTCCTCCTCCTCCCTGGAAGGAGTCTTCCCTTCATCTTACAGTGCCGTAGGCGCGCACGATTCGCAGACCCCAGCCTGGTCTCCGGGCGTCTACACCGCACGTGCGTGGTGAGCCACGATCGCGAAGGCCACGGAACTACGACGCCAGCAAGCCGCAACGAACACGCAGTGCTGCCAACTAGTCTTAGGTCGGCCCTGTCCCCCTACAGGGGGATTTTGGACGAAAAATTCAAAACATGCAGAACATACTCAAAATATGCCCAACAATACTCAAAAAATAGTCCCCTGACTATTTTTGACTATTTTTGGGTATTCCCCCTGTAGAGGGACAGGCCCGACTTAAAACTAGTCAAACCCAGAGCGCCCAGAAACACTGAACGAGGGAACTACGATGGAGCCAGCTGCAGCACGGGCAGCAGAAGGACCCTCAGGCGCTTGCTTCCCAAACTGGGTGGACGTCTGAACCCACTGCCAGAATGTCGATTTCTCGGCACGAAGAGCTAGGCGATGACAAGGGCAACCAGCAACTTTTCACGCAACACTTCAACTTCACTCCGCTGCTGCACGTGATAGAAACGGCCACGTCAGAAGAGCATCTTCTCAAAGCCCAGGACGGACGGGGTCGCTGCGAGCGTCACCAAGATGCCTCTTCCCCTGCCTCTGGCTCCCTGCCACTGCGCATACTGGACTCGCCCACTCTTCTCCCAATGGCCAATCGTCCATGGCAGCCGAGGCCAGGGTACCCTTTGCGGGCAGACCGTGGACCGCCGCACCGGGCACACCCCTGCTATAGCGTGAGGAGCGTCCTGCTGCCAGCATGGACGCACGCGGCAAATTCGAGTTCAGACAGGTGCTCCCTACACTTACACAGGAAACAACAAAGTGCACAAACATAATTTCCGGGGCTCCGCGCTGATTTCTTGGATCGGCGCCAGGGGCGGCGATGGAGCCGCCGTCGGGGTGGCCTAGCGCAGGTCCAAGAAATCCGCGCGGAGCTCCGAAGGCTCATGATAAATGCCGCCTGGTCTTTTTCGAACTACCTCCCCCCTCTCGCACCTGCTCACTTGTTTCACCGCGCGCACGCGTGTAGCTGAGGAGGGGGAGGAAGGGGAGGAGGATGGAGGAGGAAGAGGAGGAGGAGGAGGAGGAGGAGGAGGGCGAAGCACAGGCGGCAAAGCGGCGATGCGGCGAGAGCCGCCCCCGATGACCAACAGGCCTGCGGATGCACGCGCGCGGGGGCACGAGGTCTTGAGCAGGGACCGTCCGTGCCGGCATTCCTACAGGCCTACCACGACATGTTCCGAGAACCCCAACATGTTCTAATAATCAGATTAGAATGATCTTAGAACAGAATCACGATGTGTTAAAACAAGACGCTCTCAGCCAGAAGTGCTCGAATAACACTTCGTGCAGACCATGAAAAGCTCTTGGGACATTCTTTGGTAGGCCTATCGGCAAGCTGGGACGCTTCGCCATCGCTTGGAGTCTCGCCGTCGGCGCCGTCTAGAGGGGAACGGGCGCTGCGAGACGCGCTCCAAGGGTCGGGGAAGCACAGGCAGCCACTGCCTCGCGCTGGCCCGGCCGTGCAGGCCGAGCGGCGCAGCGGAGAGAGGAGAGGAGCAGAAGCTAGGGAGGAGCGCTCGTGCGGCGTCCCAGTCGCGGACAACTGCGCCGACGACGAATTCCTGGGCAGCCCTGGAGATTCTCTGGAAGCCCTGGCAGATTCCTTGAGACACGCGGGGGAAACAGCGTGACGGGATCGGGGGGGGGGGGGGCGGGGGGGGCGAGCACGAGCGCCACCGCCCGACTGAAAAAAAGGCCCTAGGCCCTAGAGCCTTTTTCTCGTCGGGGAGCCGAGGCCCTGGGCCCTGGAGCCCTAACAACAAGGCTCTAGGCCCTGGAGCCTTTCAAAGGCTCTGGGCCCTAGGCCCTAGAGTCTAGGGGGGGGGGCCTGCTCTGGGGGAGAAGCATCGACCTCGAGTCGGCTTCGAGCTTCGAGGCCCGCGGTGCTCTCGGGCGCCCCCGTCGGCCCCCGGCGGCCGTCCGGCCTCGGGGCCGCTCCTTGCGGCGGGCGCGGGGGCCGCGCGCGCGCGCGCCCCGAGCCGCGCGGCCGCCGGAGGCCCGAGCCGTGGCCCGCGGACCACCAGGCTCGGCCGCCCGGGTGCGCAGCACGCAAGGCGCAGCACGCAGCGCAGCACGCAGGCTCGGCACGCAGCTCGTGTCGCATGGACCTGCGGAGCTCACCACGCGGGCTGGAAGCGTGGGTTCGGCGCGATGCATATGGGGGCCACGTGCGAACCCTACCCCTGCCCCCCCCCACGATTTCTGAGGGGGAGGGTGGGGTTCACTTCGCTCGGGAGCCCCCGAACGAAGTGAACCCCACCCTCCCCCTCAGAAGTCGTGGGGGGTAGGGTTCGGGTTCGCTTGTGGCCCCCTCATACACTCGCCAACACGGGGCAGAGTACGCAGAGCCAAAACGCAACGCGCTGGCACGGACGTCTCGAACACGGGAAGTGCTGCGTTTCCAAGCGCGCGCGTCGAGGCAGCTAAGCCACCGAGGGGGAGGACAGGAGGGGGTTGGGACAGGAGGAGGAGGACAGGGGGGGAGGAGGAGGAAGGAAGGAAGGGAAGGAGGGAGGGAGGGAGGGAGGGAGGGAGGAGGGAGAGGAGGAGGGGGGAGGAGGAGGAGGACGAGGAGGACGAGGAGGAGGAGGAGGAGGAGGACAGGAGAGGAGAGGAGAGGGGAGGAGGGGGGATGAGGAGGAGGAGGAGGAAGGAGGGAGGGAGCCGGCCCCGCGGGGGAAGCGCCGACCCGGAGCGGGCGACGCCTCGCCGACGGGTCGGAGACGGGCCCACGGCAACGGATCCGCACGCTCCTGAGCTTCCCCCAGCGCCCGCCTCCTTCGCGGCGAGGGGGAGGAGGAGGAGGAGGAGGAGGAGGAGGAGGAGGAGGAGGAGGGGGAGGGGGAGGAGGAGGAGGAGGAGGTGGAGGAGGAGGGGAGGGAGAGGGAGGAGGAAGGG